CTCTACATAGGCTTACTTTCATAATTTTTGTTCTGTCAGGTCGAGTCTTTGAAGAAAATAAATCTATCGGTTAATAAAAAAAATCAGTTTTGTAATTTTTACAGGAAGCTTTATAAATCTAAGCTTTGAGAAAATATATATACGCTATTATCATTTAAATGCTCGTTTTCACCATCATTTAAATATTATGCTTCATTTACACTTTTAAGAAAATACCTTCATGAAATATATAAAGCAGCATCATCATTCTATTTAAGGAGACACTGCTTTGAAACAAACTAATAAATTGTACTCCAAATACGTACTTACGTCTTGTGTAATCTGAAAGTTTTGATAGCTGCATAACTATCTATATACCGAGCCCTCACGTAATCCTGATGCTCTGAAAGCATTGTTAATCATATAAATGTTATGATACCGAGGCCTCACTTAATCCTGGTGATCTGAAAGTATTGTTAACCGTATAAATGTTATTATACTGAGGCCTCACGTAATCCTGATGCTTTGAAAGTATTGTTAACCATAAAAATATTTGAATACTTACGTCTCACGTAGACCTGTTGTTTTGCACGCATTGTTAACCATATAAATGTTTTTATACCAAGGCCTCACGTAATCCTGATGTTCTGAAAGTATAGTTAACCATATAAATATTTGAATACTTAGGCCTCACGTAATCCTGATTTTCTGAAAGTATAGTTAACCATATAACTATTTCAATACTTAGGCCTCACGTAATCCTGATGCCCTGAAAGTATTGTTAACCATATGTGTATTTTGCTTACACATTCTTTTAAATAATACACAAGTAAGTTATTTGTGGAACGTCTTTCTTAGATGCATGGACAATATTAAGATTTACGTTGTTTTTCCTTTATTTGATTTCATCCATACCTAATCACATCTTTAGTAGGCTCCATCTTTTAATTATGTTCTAAAAGTATTCGTTTCAACCTATCAGGAAGTTAGGTTCAAGTAATCCTTCTCATTTCCAAACAAAACAATGTGATTGAAAATATTAATGAATGCGATGCCTTTTTCACATCTAGTTCATTATCCACCTTTATCTCTCTAATATGTACGTATATAAGCAAAAGTACCCGTCCCCAGTGACGGGAAAAGTTTAAGTTAATTTATCAATTTAAATCATTTCATGGACTTGAAGAAGATTAAATGTGTTGCACTCTTGGTTTCACTCAGAGCCAAATCTCTGAACTACTTGTATCTCCCACTGCGAAAAGTAATTGTAGAGCATTTCAGTCATGCTAAGAGACGATCAACAATAACATGCGGTAAATCTACATTTTTATTCTTCAACTTACGTCACATTTTGAAATGTGAATGATAATCTGATTAATTTCTAATAATTTAGTGTAGAATATCCTGCTTGAAAAATAAAATTTGACATTCTTTATGCCTGTTCTCCCGTCATTTGAAAGTGAATGTTGACCTTTGCTTGCCTGCGCAGCTTTTCAAATGGAAGACAGTTGAACGCTCGGATAGACACCATGGATCGCAATATATACAAGATATACTTGGATATTATAAATCATATATTTCATAATATTAAAATATTATACATATGAATAAGGTCATTCGGGGTTTACCTCAGTAAAATAGTAAAGATATGATTTGCTCCTCATCCACCAGACAACTAGAAGTCTGAAAAAATAATACCTTTTTGACAGGTCTCTTAAACAAGAAGGAGCTTGAGGAGACACGTGAGAAAAGCTTTTTGACCGATCCATCAAACAACTAGAAGTCTGAATAAAAGCAGTAAACATCTCTGTTGACAGATTTACTGGGCAACTAGAAGTATGAAACGAGTAGTAAAAATGCTTTGTTAACAGATCCACCAGATAACTAGAAGCCCAGGAGGAACGATAAAAATATTTGTATACAAATCCACGAGCCAATTAGTAGTCTCAGAAAAAAAAAAAGAGTAAAACAATAAAAAAATCCCCATCAGACAAGTAGAAGTCTAAGGAGGATCAATAAAAAAAATTGTTGGCAGATCCATCAGTCAGCTATGAGGTTGAGAATTGAAAAAAAATTGTTGGTAGAATTACCAGGTATATTGAAATCTAAAGAAGGGTAAGAAAAAAGTTTTATAAAAGGCTCGTCAAAACCTCTCTAAAATCATGGAGAGATATTGATGCAGGTTTTCTGGATACATATAGTGTGCAAGAGGGTCTGGAATTGAAGAAAGCGATGAATATGATCGTGTAGAATTGTTGAAAACCATGCTTCAATGATACAGTACCATCAACTATGTTTTTTACATTTTCCCATTCTCTTACTTTATAGAAGTTTTTAAGTTTTTAAGTTGTTCTATGAATTTCAAACTGAAAAAAGGTGAGTTACAAGAGAATTCTACTCGTCTGTTGAAAACATCTGTTTCATAGTAAGCAGCACGGAGAAATTACAACATCGTTTACACAATTGTCTTCACAAACTAAAACTATACGGACATAATAATCTTGTATTCATTATTTATCATTAATCTAACTAGTAGCTAAGAGGTTTTGCTAAATATTTCTTCTTTCTCTAGTCCAAGTTCTTTGGTAGAACCGTTTCGTTACAAAAATTTTCCTTTATCAGTTTAAAACATAAAAACACGTTCCGGCCTGCTAGAACCGTGTAATCAATTACCTTCTTCAAAACAAACCCATAATCCACTCGTCAGTCAAGGACCTGGCCATAAATCTTCCACTCTACTACGTTATGTACCACATGGCCTTGTGTTCAATGCCACGTGGCAGGACAAATTATCATTGGTTTCCGAGTCTAGTTAATTCTTAGCTTGACAGTCGCGCAATTTATCTACCTAACAGTATATTGACATGTCGTATTCATCAAACGCTCGTTACCTCTTGGACTAGCACAAGGAAAGAAAACTGTTACAAGACTTTCAGCGAGGCTACTCTCTTAAGTTGCCTCATAATCACTTCTGAGTGTCATGGTTATTGTATCATCTAACACTCTCATCCCAGTAGAGAAAAATATGGTCATGGTTCCTGTATCATCTAACACTCTCATCCCAGTAGAGAAAAATATGGTCATGGTTCCTGTGTCATCTAACACACTCATTCTAGTAGAAAAAAATGTGGTCATGGTTCTTGAGTCATCTAACACACTCATTCTAGTAGAGAAAAATGTGGTCATGGTTCCTGTGTCATCTAACATACTGATTCTAGTAGAGAAAAATGTGGGCATGGTTCCGGTGTCATCTAACACACTCATTCTAGTGAAAAAAATGTGGTCATGGTTCTTGTGTCACCTAACACACTCATTGTAGTAGATAAAAATGTGGTCATGGTTCCTGTGTCATCTAACACACTCATTCTAGTGGATAAAAACGTGGTCATGGTTCTTGTGTCATCTAACACACTCATTCTAGTGGATAAAAATGTGGTCATGGTTCTTGTGTCACCTAACACACTCATCCCAGTTTGATTTTAGTTTGTTCGACTTTCTCTCTGTCGTCAATCGAAACTGGTGTGGTTTTAGTTTGTTCGACGTTCTTTCTCATGTTATGAAAACAATCTCTAAATTAGAAGTATAGCTAGAAGCTTAAGAACTTACATTCATTCAAATCTTTAGTCATTATTTCGTGAACGGTTCCAGGATGTAAGACTGCTTTCACCGAAGGTTTCTCTTTCTTAGTCATAGTTACGCTAAATTGGCTTTGATTGTCCTGTCCGAAACGCTCTGCTGTGTGAATTCCCCTTTTCCTTTTCCAAGTGATGTGTCCTTTATTTAGTTATCCAGAAGTCCTTCTTCAGAAAGGGCTGGCGCATGTTTTCTAGCCAGAAGCCAATCTGTGCTGCCGCTTGGTCCAGAATTTACTGTGAACCAAGGTGCTAAGCATGTTTCTCATTGCTACAGCCAGAACAACCTATATCAGCATATAATGTGCGATGAATGTTTCTTGTAATAGTAATACAGATGTGTCCTTAACATTAAAGTGGTTACGATCATTTATAAGATACTCTTAATGATGAAAGTTCAAAGTTCAGGGTCCAGTTTAAGTAATTGAGACCGAAAATATCGCTAACGGCGAGGGCGCTCAACCAACGAAACAATGCATTCTAACCTGTATAAGAACGAACTTAAGAACAGTATATTTGCTGTAATCAGTAGTTAACACTAATAACCCAAATAGTGTAGTGTGTAAACTTATTATTATTGCACCAGATGTGTATTTCCTGTATAGCCATTCAAGTACATGGTTGAATCTATGTTGTCTAGTGTTGCAGTGTTTGAATTTATTATTATAGCACCAAATATCCAAATAGTGTAGTGTGTAAACGTACTATTATTGCACCAGATGTGTATTTACTGTATAGCCATTCAAGTACATGGTTGAATCTATGTTGTGTAGTGTTGCAGTGTTTAAATTTATTATTATAGCACCAAATATGTATATACTATTTATATGAATGTTTGGTTAATTTCTAAACATTCCATCGAAAACAACAAAAGTTAAAAAGTCTTATATATATATTTATTTATTCATTTCTATAAATATTTTTGTGACAAATAAATCCCAGTTAATAATATAACTGCTTTTTTTTCATACACACAAACGCACAAATTACAAGTATAACACTAAACAAACATCAGCCAAGTTCACTGGATAGTGTGTTAAACAAGGCGTTTTTCTTCGCCAAGAAACAGTTAGAAAATTGAAACAGTATTAAGGATAGGGATGGGGAGGAAGACTCGGTCTTGATCAAGATACGTTACGAACCTGTAACAAAAATGTAAAATTTTCTAACAATAAAGATTGTCAATTTTATTCGGATTATGCAGGACATAGCTCGCGAATTTTCATTACGAAAATGTGGTCGTAAAAACTTAACTTCACATTCTGATGCTCTTTCAGAAATGTCAACATCTTGTAAGCAGTTCGATTTTGTTTTTAAAATTTGCAGCACAATATTCATTGCTCTCTAGTCGCATCTCTTTCACTTGCACGTTTTCAAACTTATGATTATAATTAAAATTAAAATTCATGCCAGATGACTCTGATTATTGGGGATAGTAAGACCTTCTACGATCCTTATCTTGGGTACGTTCGTGTTGTACTTATCACGTGATCTCAGTATCCAGTCTGCTTGAACAAAAATTCAGATTTTTGGCTTTCAGACATCATCTTATCTGGCGTACATAAACCAAGTCACGCTAGCTTATGACTGTTGGACCGATCGGAAGTTTTTGATAGGTTTACCATACACTATCCTTGAGTACATGGTTCTCTCTTTACAGGTTGTGGACTTCAAAACTGCTGGAGAACGCTGGTGTATCTTTTGTAGAACGCTAAGAGACAATATCATTTGATAGTGTTTTTCAATTTAAGGACCACAGAATTGAGGGGAGTTTATTCTCAGCTTCTTATGCCCTGAGTGTCTTTAATGTGGGAGGTTAAAAGAGGTTCGTATGCACAAGACTGGTGGTCTGGAAATCCCCCTATTTCTGTATATTTTGGGATCGTTTCTGTACCTCCTTTAGCGTTTCGCACTTGAAAATCATGTAGCAAGCTCTTCGACACTTCTTCTGAGCTACTTGTAAAGCACGAATCTTTTGTGGACTCTTTTTCAGCCAGGAATAACACATTTTCTGTTAAATCCTGAAATAACAGAATGTACTCAATTTGTAGTATAGACATACAGATAATAAATAGAATGATTAAGCATACGTATCATTGATACATGGCACACGGTAGCAACAAAAGTAGTTTAGAAGACTATCTATGTATTAAAACTAGAATAATATCTCACATTATTCCCTTACTGATGGCGATGTAATGTAACGTCATACACAGATATTTTACTCATGGCGATCTAATGAAACGCTGTACAAAGAAACTTTGCTCGTGACGATTTAATGAAACGTAATATAGAGGTACTTGTGACGATTTAACGAGACGCTATATCTAGGTACTTTACCTGTGACGATTTAATAAAACACTATACAGAGGCACTTCGTGACGATTTAATGAAACGTAATATAGAGGTACTTGTGACGATTTAACGAGACGCTATACCTAGGTACTTTACCCGTGACGATTTAATAAAACACTATACAGAGGCACTTCGTGACGACTTAATGAAACGTCATAAAGAGGTACTTTACTCTAGACGACTTTAGCTAGATCCCATAAGAAAGTAATTTCCACGTATGGATTTTAACTAGACCCCCCTAAAAGGTACTTTATTCATGTTGATTTTAACGCCATTCCATACAGAGACCTTCTGACTTGTTTTTTTTTCTTTCATCTAGACACTACAAAGAGATACTTTACTCATGAATATTTTAACTAGACATTAAAAGGAGGTACTTTACTCGTGCCTATCTTAACTAGACACCACAAGTAGGTACTTTACTCGTGAATATTTTAACTAGACATTAAAAATGAGGTACTTTACTCGTGCCTATCTTAACTAGACACTACGAGTAGATACTTTACTCGTTATACTTTACAACTCCTGTTGCTTGATCAATTGTAAAGTATCTACTTGTAGTGTCTAGTTAAGTCTAAAGTCTAAAAACTCAGGCCATTACTTAATCTTGGATCAAGCAACAGGCAAGATTAAGTAATGGCCTGAGGTTTTAGACTATACATATTCACATGATTTACCTTAGCAGCGATAATAACTGACTGATGAAACAATGCATTCTAGTCATTATAATTAATAAAGTTTGAACATTATATTTAATTAGCTATGCTCATTACTAGATGTATAGTTTGAGTCATAATCTAGATAGATATCTTGCTTTGATGTGAAGCTAATAAGAAAGTTCGACTCTATAAATTGTTTCTGTTGGTTATTAATAAGCTACAAAACAAATCTTTGTATCATAGCATTTGATTAAACTATGCCTTCATTATTAACGATGTTTTTTCTGAATGAAAAGTAAAAAAACATTCGGTAACAGCGAACGCACATTAGTCAAATTAATACTCATCGCGTCTTGCTGTTAAGCCTAAAGCCAGCTGTACAATGAACCATCTGTGCTCTGCCAACGGCGGTTATCGAAAACCGATTTTCAGTATCATATACTTTCAAATTTACCAGTGAGCCACCAGGTGGCGCTTCAAATATTATACAACAATAGTATTAATAAATGTATGTAATTGTATTAATCTCTAATCACCACATGATTACCTATTTCTGAGTCAACATTCGTAGTTACCCGAAATGTATAACAACAGAAAAATAAATTCTTGTTAAATAAGTTCCATCACGTAATTTCTCACAATGGTGCCTTATCGATTTTATTTTCGCTGACAGCGAATTTCTCTCACTACAAGAAGAAGAAGAAGAAAAAAAAAAAAACTAATGCGAAGGATTCAATTAAATCAAAGATAAAATATAATCAAATTAAAACTTGCCCTAGAAAAAGGATACTTAACAACCTTTAAATGCTAGTTATCACAATAAAGGTGGCGTTCTTCACGCAGGTAATCCTAATGTTTAGAAAGTATCCCTTAATCTGACAATGGAATGAATTCGCTAAAATGCACATAGTATAAGAACACCAATTTTCTACAAATTCTACGATTTATTGATATACCCCAGGTTTGTGTGTCTTTGATATGTACAAAGTGTGCTTAAAATAGATTACAAACATTTTTATTTTACAATTCTCACAAGTCCATTTCTTACGTAATTATGGGTTTCACTAATTTTATAAGAAGGTAGATAAACAAGTTGATGCTAAATTATCAAATTGTGCTATTTTTTTAGAAGACTAGTGGACTACATTTATTTCTTTTCCACTATATTGATTATTTTTGAAGTTTCGTTGATTAAATAAACATAATGATTATATCTTTACCTTGCAAACGCGTGAATACTGCTTTAGAATATCTGGACAGTGGTCATCTTCTTCCAAACTTTCGCAACTTCCCAATTTCCGTATTTGTTCATCGCCTTATAAGGAATAAACGTATGTGAACTCATTATGTTCTAAATTCAATACACACGGGGAATAAACGTATGTGTGAACTCATTATGTTCTAAATTCAATACACGCGAGGAATAAACGTATGTGTGAACTCATTATGTTCTAAATTCAATACACACGGGGAATAAACGTATGTGTGAACTCATTATATTATAAATTCAATACACACGGGGAATAAACGTATGTGTGAACTCATTATGTTATAAATTCAATACACGCGAGGAATAAACGTATGTGAACTCATTATGTTCTAAATTCAATACACGCGAGGAATAAACGTATGTGTGAACTCATTATGTTCTAAATTCAATACACACGGGGAATAAACGTATGTGTGAACTCATTATGTTCTAAATTCAATACACATGGGGAATAAACGTATGTGAACTCATTATGTTCTAAATTCAATACACATGGGGAATAAACGTATGTGAACTCATTATATTGTAAATTCAATACACATGGGGAATAAACGTATGTGAACTCATTATATTGTAAATTCAATACACATGGGGGAATAAACGTATGTGAACTCATTATATTGTAAATTCAATACACATGGGGGAATAAACGTATGTGAACTCATTATGTTCTAAATTCAATACACATGGAGAATTGACGTATGTGACACCATTATATTATAAATTCAATACACACAGAACTGTCAAATCCTGAACTTCCAAAATAGTAAACAAATAAGATAGGAAGATACAGGAAAGCAATCAGTATGAAATCAGAATGCTAAATTGTTCAAAAATGCACAGTGAATCAAATATATTTCTTTATATTTGGCTTTGTAGAATGTGCAAGTTCTTTCAACGTTGTGAATCTTATTTAATCGTTGTTTTATAAAGATATTATTTCTGTATTGTATCCAGTAAGAATGAATTGTTTGTTTTGTAATCAAGCACAAAGCTACACAATGGGCTATCTGTGCTCTGCCACCACGGATATCGAACCCCGAATTCTAGCGTTGTCAGTCCGCAGACATACCACTGTGCCACTGGGATGGGGGATAAGAATGAAAAGCAAATAATTTTTATAAAGAGAAACAATGCGTATCTAAGGATATGCCAAATCTAAATCATATACATATATATATACATAATTCTTAAAATAAGTTGGTCAGCAAAAGAAGAAGCGTAAGTAAATTGTGGAGAGAGAACTTATTATTTTCACCCACTTACCCCACTCTTCTAGATGGGAAGTACGTGGATTCTGATTTTCTTCACTTTTTGAATCATTGCTCCATGACATTCCGTATTCTGCAAGCTAAAATAATTTATAAAGTTTTATAAATGTAAGCAAACTTTTCAATATTTTGAGTGAATAAACTGATGTTTTATGATATACGAGACTATCAACTTCATGGAGGTAGGTAAATCGAGAACAGTTTTCAAATGAAGACCAATTCTAAATTACTCCGAGTCAACAAATTGTAGTGCGGTAGAAAAACAGGCAAAGCAGTAAAATTTTTTTGTTTGGGTTAGGGCGAAGCCACATTGGGCTAGCTGCTGTGTCCACCGCGGGGAATCGAACCCCGAATTTTAGTGTTGGAAGCCTGCAGACATACCGCTGTTTCATCGAGGGATTGATATAAGTAATAAATGGAGTAAATGGTTTTCCTGAGATTCAGTAGGCAAGCGAATGTGTGAAATGGTGTATATTATCATTAGAAAAAAATCAGGTTCTTCAACTGATGGTCACTTCACAGATCTGGTATTTTAACAACATACAAAATTGTAAGAATGAAGTGTGTTATTGTTTAAGATATACAAGTTATACGTGTGTATTAATATCAAATATCTTGAAGAGTTTTACTTTCTAATCGCCGCATGATTTCTTGCGCTCAAAGAGAAATATTAAGAAACACCAAAAGGCCAATTGTAAATAACGTATTATATCCTACATAAGAAAATCATATATAGCCAAACGTACAATTAACGTATATGTTAGAGTTTTGGATAACTTACATTTTCATTGTGTTAGTCAGACACTTATATTAAATCTTAATTTTATAAAATGAGCACATCTTTAAGATAAAATGACGCGAAATTCTCGAGTTTTGTTTGAAATTATATTTTAATTGTTAATAAAACTACACCGGTGGAGTGTTTGTTTGATATGCCGAATGCACGAAAATACATAATAACCTATGTGTGACTCCTCGTCCGCTATTACAAAGTAATAAAACAAAAATCAACGAGTTTCTATTACAGAACACCGTAATATTTTCTGATATTTTTTTAAATTGTTATTTAAATAAGACTTTAACACTATTTAGTAAGATAAAAGGACCTGAATGTTATCTGTATTTCCATGCTCTTCCACGATTCTCTCCGTTGTTCTTCCTGACAGAAAGAAGGGATGGCCGTCGGTGTTATCCAATGGCTTCAAGTGTTCCTCGTTTTGGCTTATACGCTGGAGCTGTAAAGCAACTGCAGAGAAAAATCGAACATACTTTTTTTTTCTCACTGGAAAAAAACCCACGTTAGTACAGCTTAAAGTAAGTTATGCAAAACGATCAATAGCGACCTTGCTGAAAATTACGTTGAAAAATAATGTTTTTCCTTGTCTTTGTTACACAAAAGTTGATTTAATTACACATTATTCATAGATATTTAACTCAATGGGATCTGATGTAGAATACGAGTGTAAAAATCTGGATCAATCTTTCACTCAAACTTCTGTAAATTTTAACATACGCGTACTGTACGGTGCTACTTTGTTTTCACAAACGTTGGTATTTTTTAACCTATTATAATAATATTCGTAATTTTGTATTTTTATTATACAAAAATTCATCACTAGAAATTATGTTTTCTTCACTAATACATTACCTTCAGCGCACCTTCTCATACGTTGGTGTCGCCGAATGCAGCACATGACGATTAAAGCTATCAAAACAAAAACCATAGCACCACAAACAGCACAGGCCATCCAAACAACCCTTGAAATTTGAGCTTTCTTGCTTTCGACTCCATTAGTTACAGCCTTTGTAGAATCCATTGTTGGCGCGGCTGTAGAGAACAGAACGTATTTACTGTATGAGTGAAGGATCGGAAACCATCAGTGAACCGAATACATCATTTTTCTAGCAAACGTTCTAAATTATCGTATTTTAGATTTTATGTTCTCGTCAATTAAAGAGGGTGCTAACTTGAACTTCGTAAATACATTAATTTTCTAAGTTTAAGATTCCATTAACTCTCTACGAAAATATACACGACGTGAAGGCCAATTCAGCGTATTCAGTTTTTGCCCTGAATGACCTAAAAATAACCGTTTAAAATAAGCAGAAACATGCTTATCTGAGATTTAGATAAAGCAGTTACTTTAACTTTTTGTCAATCTCTGAATTATACAAAGCAAATCTCATATTGCTGTAATGTATTCGAAACGACAGGTTAGGTATGCCTCTAGATTGGCTTTAACGTCATGGAAATATCTTCACACGACTTGAAAAATATATAATTCTTTTGAATATCTACCAAAATCTAACCTAGAGAAAAAATATCATTTACAAGAAAATTCAAATAAAAACACAAAATACTCATAATATAATACAAAGAAAATGAGGGTGAATATAGACAAACGCGAGAAAAACAGGATAGTGATTTTTTTGTCATGAGCTTTCTTTGTAAATAAATTTTATGTACGTTCGATAAAATAAATCAGGTTTAGTTCTGTTTTAGGAAAATTCGATTGAACTTATATAATGTTTTTATTTTTATCTAAGCCTACAAGTTGCTTATTGTCCTATTGCGCTACCCGCTTATTTACAGCATTGTTTAGAAAAGTATTCAAACATTAAAGGCCAAATATAATATAATATATTAGGATGACCGTAAAAACGGTTCCGCAAAAATCATTCGGCTATTTCTCAGAAATTGGGATTTTTAAATTATAAGCATATTTTTAGATAACTAAATTTCCAAATATTAAATTAAATAATAGAAAAATCGGTTTCTTGTGATTAAGCCTAAATCTTACCCAACCTTTGCTACTTAACAGCAGTGTTTTCATCCAGTCTTGCAGGGTTCCGAAGTAGTTCAAATATTTGAGTCCAGTGAGAAAGCTTTGATTGAATACATACAAGACTCTATAGATATTGATTTTTCGTAAAAAAAATTGTTACACAGCTTAATCTTGAAGAACGCAGTATTTGAGCCAGCTCGTTTCGGTTTCATCTGATTAAATAATCAAAAAACTTACTTCATAATTTAATTCTTGATGCTTGTTTGTTTGTTATGGATTTCCCGCAAAGCTACATGAGGGCTATCTGCGCTAGCCTTCTCTAATTTAGGAGTGTAAGACTAGAAGAAAGACAGCTAGTCATCACCACCCACCACCAACTCTTGGGCTACTCTTTTACTAACGAATAGTGGGATTGACCGTCACTTTATAACGCCCCCACGACTAAAAGGGCGAGCATATTTGGTGTGACGGGGATTCGAACCCGCGGCCCACAGATTATGATTGGAGCGCCCTAACCACCTGGCCATGCCGGGCCCATTCCTGGTGCACTGGATGTGTGATCAAGATCATTTTCTGTTTAATATTTATTCATATTTCAGTTTTCTAGGCCCTATTCATATGTTTAACATTTTGTTAACATTTTCATTTGAAACGAGCTGAGTAAACTTAATTTATTACAGATTTCTCTTGGGGATGTATCAACAACAAGAAACTCGTGTGACTAAATATTGATGTGTTAGTCCTATATTTGTAAATAACGGTCTTTAATCTAGTTTTACTTTAAGTTGTTTTAAAAGTTGGGCCGGACGTGGCCTGGTAGTTAGTGTGCTGGGCTGCGTATCGAAAGAACCAAAGTACTAGTCTAGATATGCTGCTGAACATGCATCGCACTTTCAGCTGTAGGGGATAAAACAATCGAATCAAAAACACCTTAGGTGTGAAAAAAAAGGTGCGGATTGAGTGTGCGACTTAAAGGAATGGAATCAAAACTGACGTTCAAACTGGAAGATACACTTATAGTATTGATAAGAATTTTACAGGAAATATTCATTTATTAGTTAGTGAGATCGCGTTTTTTGTTCAACTCGGGGCTAACTAATGAATGAATAGTTGCTCTAAAATCCTTATCAGTGTGATAAGTGTAGCTACCAGTTAATAACACAGTGTGTCCTGCAGCAGGTTGTTTTGGCTGCACGACACACTACCGCATGTCTTGATATATCACGATATTCAGCTGTTGTTACATAAATGGTAGATGTTGCCGACTCGTGTCGTCTGCCTGTTCAGTGCTCAGTTATGGATAGCTAAGCCTAAGTATTTAGTAGTCTCTAGTCTGGCCGTTTAACTCGTACGTAGTATGCATAACTCTATCTGGGGTCATAATGTGAAACTTTATAAAACTACTTGTTATTTTTCAGTACTTGCCAAACTTTCTCTCTGTGCAGCCTAAGTAAACAAATGGCTTTTGCTTTTTGTTGTCATTGTATGTAATAATCTAAGGACAAAACAAGATTTTTCTTGTTAAGTATTTCTATTATAGTAAAGATTAGTATCAGGTAGATTGAAATGTAAGTTGAATTGAAAGGCAGAGAGGGTAATCTTAGACCACATATCTTGATAAATTTCTCATAGACTTTTCACTTTGAGCGGGAATCTGGTTCGAAAACTACGTTTGGGCAAATTAGGTTTAGAAAATAGTACAAACACTGACTTTATTCTGCGTGTCTCATCGACAAGCTGTTATGGACTTAGACTTGTGAATTGATAGTTTATGCTGACGTAGACGTACCTTTTGGCGTCCTGGCTATACAGCATGGAGGTTTTATCTTGCATAGTTTTTGTCAATACGTTCTCCTGCTAGTAGCTAAAGTTTCTTAAAATCTAAATAGGAATGTTCTTTAAATATGAATAAAAAGTAAACTGCATAACTAATTGTTTAAGTTTTCCTTTAAACTATTAAAGATCTTACGCTTTGTATGCACTTTCAGTCCTCCCTCGTTGCTGTCACTTATTCCTGCGTCATTAAAAGCCAAGATAAAGATCTCATAATCCGTCTCCGGACGTAAATCTCGGATAAGGTATTTCGAAAAGGTTGTGTTTTCAGATCTATAATGTTTTGTCTGTCCAGTTTCTCTCCACTTAATGTTGAAAGTCTGTGGAAGACCTCCGTCCAAACCTGGTTCCCAGGAGAACATAACTGAATTATGAGTGATATTAGAGGCAGAAATCTTTCTTGGCATTTTCGGAACACCTGGTGTGAGAAAGAGAAAATTCTTATTTTGTAATATTCTAAAAAATACTCTTATTAGCCTAAAGGATTTCAAGAGGGTTCATCCACTCTGTGTGGAGTTTGTTTTTATGTTCAATAAGTACGTTAATACCCTCAGATGAGAAACAATAATCTACCATTTAATAAAATCTACATTTTAATATGTATATGGTGTACTTAGACATAACGTAACATAACATAACATTTTTGGACAACAATGGTTCTATTGGTCCAATTCGGCTGTTACATTCTCTGAACTAAAACTATTAGTAAATAAATACAGAAAAAGAAAACAAATCGTAAGGCCATGTCTTATGATTCATATAGTTTCCAAGCTTTCTCTTAAACTCACGTAAATTGACTGCCTCCACAACATCCGAAGGCAACCCATTCCAAAGGCCAACCATCCTGTTGGAAATATATAACTGATTTAGCTGAAGATGACTCCTACCTTGCCAAAATTTATATTTGTGTCCCCTAGTCCTACTTTTCTGATTGTTAAATATAAAAAAAGATGATGCATTGACACTATCAATTCCCTTTACAATCCTCTCCTCGTATTACAACCCCTTCATCCCAGGCAACATTCTAGTAACCCTTTCCAACAATTCAATGTCTTTCCTAAGGTAAGAAGCCCAAGACTGAACACAATATTCCAAATGTGTCCTAACCAGCGATCTATACAAAAGACATTCTAAGGGATATATTTGTAATTTTTTGGTGTTGAATTAACATTAAATATAAAGATTTTAAGCTACCTTAAAACACAACCAACATACGAAAAAACAATTTACATATTTCATAAGGACTGTCAAGTGAAACGTGCATTTGAATTTGAAACGTCATTTAATAACTTTTTAAATATATTATAGATCCTGCTGAGCAACCTTTATGACAATGTTTACAACATTGAGTCTTATAAGTTTATAGAGAGAAAATGCGGGAGACTTTACGTAAAAAAATTACATTAAGATTTACATAAAAATATTGAGTATACTTACGAGCTCGCACAAGCTCCACTGTTATGTTTGAATGCCCCAAGTAATTCTCTGCTCGACAAGTATAATTTCCAAACGTCGAAGAATGAACTTTTCTGATGTGGAGAACACTTGTCCAGACAGTCTTTTCATTATTTTGATAATCAACCTGGTAATTAGACTTAGTTGACATCCAGCTTATTAGCTGATTACCAAGATACCACGTAAATGTAACGTTAGGTCTAGCATCAACGGTACAGTTTATTGTAGCACCGCCACCTATTCGCGAGGCAACTTTCTTCCCTATTACAGGTTGAAGAATTACTGGCCTGTCTATGACAGAAAAGAAGCAACTCAATGAAAGGAAAAAACTCATTTTTAAATTTTGTAATACAAATTAATAAATCTTTTTGAACTTTTATGGAAAAAAAGGGAGAAATCATTATAAAAGTTTCAATAAGACCACAAGACACACAAAAAAGCATTGCCTGAGATAAGTCAACAGATTCGCGTCGATTAATAATGAAAATACAAATCTTACTTTCTTTTTCTTTAAAGATTTTCAGTTGTGGTTTATCGCAGTCTCTCGTAATATTTGTTATTTTCCCACTTACAATATTAAAAAAAATAGAAGTTTATCTAGGTACATGTTTTGATTATATTAATAGAAGTTTATCTAGGTACATATTTTGATGATATTAATAGAAGTTTGGCAATTACATATTTTGATGATATTAATTGAAGTTTATCTAGGTACATATTTTGATTATATTAATAGAAGTTTATCTAGGTACATATTTTGATGATATTAATAGAAGTTTGGCAATTACATATTTTGATGATATTAATT